ACTATAACTAATAATATAATAATAATATAATGATAACTATAATGCTATAATATAATAATATAATAAATAATACAATAGTATTTTCTATACTATGCTATGCTATTATTACTCTCTGTGTTACAACCTACTTTGTAACACTATCACCGAAACAGCTAAGCCTTAAATCTCTAATGATGATACTGAAATGATGAAGCTTGAAATCTTCACAAATGACAGTGCCGAAATAACGAAAGCTCAAATTTTCTACTCTATAAATGACAACACCCACTGCAGTGGCTCTACCACTCGGTTTTCCAGTGAAACAAACCTACAAAAAAGAAAGAAAGTGTTAGTTCAAAGCAAGAAAAAAAAAAAAGTCAAACAACGAAACAAACACATATCAAGATCCCGGTTCTAATCTTCACTACTGCACTATCAGTATTTCAGGAAGCAAAAAAGAAAAAATAAATTGTGAAAAAAAAAAGCAGATCTAGATCTAAAAAAACAAACAAAAAACAAACAAAAACCTAATTTAGATCGCCTAATCCAGAACTAGGAAAAAGGATAATATATGATTACTGATCTTAAAAATGATTGGCTAATTATAAGCATGATAGAAGTTTGTTTTGATTGGGTAAATTTTTGTGATCTATGAAAATACCGGTCTCATATAACTACATGATATTTGACCAATAAAATGGTTCATTATCAATTATTGCAAATTTTTGTATAACTAGAAATTTTTATTATCATTATATTGTAGAATTTATACCTGTTATATCAAGATTCTGCTTGGTATCCGATATAACAAGGAGTGCAGTAATGTAAAATAATTACATGTAAGAGCCCAAAGTGAAAATAATTACATATAAGGGCCCAAATTTTGAAAAATTTTAGTCAAGGGCCCAAATTCATCGTTATTAATTGAATTGCAAGTTTTTAATCTTTATAATTATAAAAATATAAACTTTCTTTTGATGGCTAACGTGTTACTTTTTAATATGTATTGTATTTATTCTCTTAGCATCTTACATATAAAAAATTATAGCTGATTTCTGGAAGTAATTTAGCTTTTCTACAAGTAAAATAGGTTTTTGCGATTCTAAATATTTTTGTATTTTGGCACAGGATAAACTTTATTAGTTTAGAGCCAAGTTTCATTAAGCGAAAAAAGCATGGTATAAAATGTATAAAGTAGTACATATGCGATACAAAGAACTACTAATGTCATAACACAGTTATTTTGGTCCTTTGATTGTTAAAATTTAGGCTTTTGTATGTAATCCAGGCCCTTATATGCAAATTCCCCAAAATCGACTATCAGATAAAGTATTTTGTCCAAAAATCTCAGAAAAACAAAGAATGCAACTAAGTATTAAACTATATAATTTTATAATAAATTATTATCAAGTAAAATTTGTAAAAAATTTTTTAATAAAAAATGCTTTAGGAATGAAATTAATTTTATTATATGCTTTTACAAGAAAAGGAATTCTGAAACGTGACAATAAAATCGTTACATTACGCATAAGATTATTATGCATAAGATCGTTATGCATTGTTATGCATAGATCATTATGCAAAAATCGTTCGTTATATTAGCATGATCCAAGTAGTCATGCATAAAATCGGGTTATTAGTATGATTCAAGTTGTCACGCATAAAATCAGGTTATTAGTATGGTCCAAGTTAATTACGCATAAAGTCGTTATATTAGTATGATTCAAGTCATTATGCATAAAGTCATTATATTAGTATGATCTAACTAAATAATTTATCTGCGTAGTGATCTAGAAAATAAAAGTTAGGGTGTTAGTGGTTGTAATTTATATAAAAAGCGTAAAAAAAATCTTGTAAAAGCAAATTTGGCTGCCTCCTATACTTATCTTAAAGAAAATAAAATTATTCTCTTAAAACCTATACCCTCGACACATTGTTAATCGATTATTCGACTACAATAATACAATTAAATATTAATTATATCTTTGTGTAATTAACTATTTACCTGTATTAAAAGATACAATGCCTCCCAAAAAAAATCACGGTCCTTGTTCAATTCCTAATTGCCAGACAAATTCGAATCAATATCGTAAAATTACAGATTGTGCTCTAACAAAAATAAAAGAAAAAGATATTGACAATCAATATAATTATTTAGAAATTGAAATGCAATTATATTATCCTCATTATTTAAGTGTCGTCAAACCTGATCGCCATAATAAAAATAAGTCATCTGTTAACAGTACACGTATCGTTGAATCTTCTAATCTAAAGGACACTAATTCTTTACCAACTAATAGTATACCTGATATTATAATTCCTAGACTGTTATCTTTTGGCGATAAGATTGCTTTGATGACGAAAGTATTATATGAAAAGCAGAGAAAAGAACAACAATCACTCGAATTAGATCCAGATAATTTTCAAAAGATGCTCGAAAGTTCAGAACCGTCGTTAAAAGGATTTTTTAATGAATTGTATAATGCATTTATTCTGGACAGGCGATCTGCTTATAATAAAAAAGAGGATAAAAAAAAAGTAGTTAATATATGTTATTCAATAGCAGGGATAAGAAACAAGTTTGTAAATAACTTTCCATTAGAAATTGGACTATATCTTGTGGCGTCCGGCGCATCGTGTGAAGCAATTGATACATTACACAAGGCTGGTCTTTCGGTCTGTTACAAGACTGTTGAAGCCTATAGAAAAAAATTTGCCAGTAAGCATCCAAAAAATATTCGAGAATATTTCACTGAAAAGGTAAATTAATAACTTACTATCTATGCTTAAGATTAAGGATGGTCAAATTGATCTAATTCAGTTTTGTCATGACCATCCCTAGTCAAAATCTCCTAACTATTGCTTTCTCTCTCTCTCTCTATAGCAAAATCAAGTCTGAATTCTTGAAAGAAATCAAAAAGTTGGATGCTACTTTGGTAGATTTAAAAACTCTATTAGGCAAAGAACCCAAGGAAATCCCGAAGAAAAC